AAACAAACAATGCAGAAAACCTGTCTCAAAAAACAAAACAAATGAACAAGTAAAAGAAAAAACAAAGGACAGAGCAACTCCAGGTATCATTTTTATCATCTCATTCATCACATTGAAACTCACCTGTTGTAATGCAGCTGCAGCAGCTGCAGCTTGCTGCTGCAATGCTGCAGTTTGTGTTAATTGATAGTTTGCTGGCGTTTGTGTGGTAAGGCCTGCTGCTGCCAATGCAGTCTGCTGGGTATAAATGGTAGGAGATGCTCCCAGAAGTGATGGCTGCTGAACACCTAGTGCAGCTAAAATGAGATTAAAAGAGGAGAGGGATCAAGATTACTCTGTTTCTCTGCAGGAATCTCCCATGACGTCCCATTACAGATAAAAAAAAAACTGGCTCCACTGACCTCACTGCAGTAACACAACCAACTTTATCTAGACCCAGACTCTAATCAAAGAGCTGAGTATGATGGAATATACCTTTAATCCCAGACTAGAAGGCCAGGGGTATAGAGGCACGAAGATGATTATGAATTCGAAGCCACCTTGGTCTACATAATCAAGCTCCAAGACAAGCTAGGGTTTCACAGAGAGACCTAGTCTCAAAAACACAAAACCAAATACATGTATAGATATAGGTATTCGAGGGTTGTGTTACTGATAGAAAATGTGGCAAAGTAGAGACAGGAAAATCAGTTCAGGCCAGCCTGACTCTAAGATTTTGTCTAAAAACTCTAGAGAGGAAACAGGCAGAAGTGTTGTTCTGGTTGGCAGTTTTTGTCAACTTGACTCAACCCAAAGTTATCTGAGAAGGAAGGACCCACACTGTGGTTTGAATGAAAATTACCCCCCTAGGCTCCTGGTGGTAGCATTATTTGAAAGGGTTAGGACAATGTGGCCTTGTTGGAATAGGTGTGGCCTTGTTAAAGGAAGTGTGTTACTGAGGTGCAAGTCAGGTCCAGTGGCTCAGTCTTTCTTCCTGGTGACTGCTGATCCAGTTGCAGAACTCTCAGCTACCTATCCAGCACCATGTCTGCCTGCATTCCAACACGATTCCCACCACGATGACAATGGACTAAATCTCTGAACTATAAAATCAGCCCCAATTAAATGTTTTCCTTTATAAGAGTTGCCATGATCATGGCAGTAACAGCAATCCTCTCCAAGCTACTTTTAGTCAGTGTTTTATAACAGCAAAAATAACCCTAACATAGAAAAATGTGTTTGTGCTTCAGGTTGACAAGGGGTCAATTGTCCAGGCTCCTTTTTTTCCCCCTTGTCAACTTGACTAGAGTTATCTAAGAGGGAGCCACAATTGAGAAAATTCCTCCATGAGGACTTATAGACAAGCCTGTGGGGCATTAGTTCCTGCCTCTAGGTTCCTATTGATTTATCTCAGTAATGGAGTGTGACCTCAGAGTTGTAAGATGAAATAAATTCTACAAGTTGTGTTTGATTATGGTCTTTATCAGAGCAACAGAAATCTTACTAACATAACCACCTAGTGAATAAAGGGTACTTGCTACCAATCTTGAGACATGACTTTAAACCCCGGAGTCCACAAGATGGAAGTATACAATCAACTCAACTGCTACAAATTGTCCTCTGACCTGCACATACACATCCATAAATGTTAAAAAAAAAACTGAAAATTCTAGTAAGTTTGCCTAGCATGTACAAAGCCCTGAGGCGGGTGGGGGAGTGGTGGGGGATTACAAAACAAAAAAATTCACAATGAGTAACAAATGGCTTTTTATTTATTTTTGGTTTTATGCCTCTGGAAAAAGACTTATTTTTTAAACTTTACTTTTAAACTGTAAGCATTTATTTATGATGTTAACAGCTATTTTTTTCCCTTAGCCTATTAGTTATTGGGTTTTTGTTTTGTTTTGGTTGAGATGGGGTCTCACTATACATCCCTGCCTTTCCTGGAACTTGCTATATAAACCAAGCTGCTCTGAAACTCACAGAAATGCACCTGTCTCTGACTCCTGAGTGCTTTGGGATTAAAGGAATGAACCACCAAGACCAGCTACATATTGTTTTAAAAGTCAAGAACATTTGTGCTCAAGGGTGGCCTGAAACTCACTAAGAGATGTCTTGAACTTCTGATCCTCTTGCCTTTACCTTACAAGTGCTTGATTTCAGGAAGACAGGACCACACACCCAATGTATGAGGTGCTAGAAATCCAATCCAAGGCTTTGTGGATGCTGTGTAAGGACTTTACTGCCTAAGCCATGTCCTCCCTGGATTTTTTTGTTTTTTGAGACAGGGTTTGGAGGCTGTCCTGGAACTAGCTCTTATGGACCAGGTTGGTCTTGAACTCACAGAGATCCTCCTGCCTCTGCCTCCCGAGTGCTGGGATTAAAGGTGAGCACCAGCAACACCTGGAGCAATGAAATCCTTATAGAGTAGTATTTCTACATTAAATTCAAACTAGTAAAAACCATAACTGAACTAGCAATAAAACTCAGTGGGCAAAAGCACTTACCATGCAAGTCCTACAACCTGGGTTCAATCCCCAGAACCCATCCTGTAAGGAAAGAACCAACTTCCAAAAGATGTCCTCTAACCTACTCTCTCCCTCTCTCTCCCTCCCTCCCTCTCCCTCTCTCTCCTGTACTCATAGACATTAGACATACAAACACTGGGTATATGTGCACTGTCTCCTCCCACCTTCCCATCCACCAGAGGCACACACAAATTATCAAAAAACCAAAAAGAAAAAAAAAAAAAAAAAAAGATGGGGGGCTGTTGAGACAAGGTCTCTAAGTAGTCTTGACTGTCATGGAAGTCACTATTTAGACCTCAAACTAAACAGAGCCACCTGCCTCTGCCTCCTGAATGCTAGAATTAAAAGCATACACCACCACATCCAGCAAAAAAAAAAGTAATTTAAAGAAAAAGTCATATAAAACATTTTATAAATTATGGCATTTAGATATATTTAAAACGTATGGTTTTTGCTGGGCGTTGGTGGCCCATACCTTTAATCCCAGCACTCGAGGCCAACCTGGTCTCCAGGACAGCCTCCAAAGCCACAGAGAAATCCTGTCTCGAAAAACATAAAACAAAAATCAAAAAAAAAAAAAAAAAAA